TAAACTCCATACCCCACTCCCTCAAAGCCCGAAAACCCTCAACCCCCAATCCGGCCAAACCCGAAAGCCTTGCTAAGTCTCCGGCAGCGATCCCTCCACGGTGTCCGGTCTCTTCTTCTCCTCGAAGGGTTTAGGGTTTAGGGTTTAGGGTTTTAGGGTTTAGGGTTTAGGGTTTAGGGTTTACTAAACCCTAAGGTACCTATAACCGACTAAGTCTCATGATCCTCCATGGCCTCCGGCCTTCGCGTTAGGGGTGCAGGGGTTTCGGGCTCAGGGTTTAGGGTTTAGGGGTTTAGGGTTTAGGGTTTAGGGTTTCGGGCTCAGGGTTTAGGGTTTAGGGGTTTAGGGTTTAGGGTTCAGGGCAAAGGAGATGTTGGCGGCTTTCTGTTTTGTTTTCGAGGGGTCGGGGTTTGGAGTAGCAGGGCTTTGGGTGCTGTTGGCTTTAGAGCTTAGGTATTGAAGTCGAGGGTTCACCTGGGGATTCAAAAACCTACCGTTTTGAGGGTTAGACCCTCGAAATAAGGGGTCATAACCTACTCTTTTGTAGTGTTTCGGGAAAAACAGGCAGGGTTTAGGGTCTAGGGTGAATGAGTCGTTTATTTGAAGATATACCCCTGAACCCCAAGCTCTTGAAATGAAACTCTGGGCCCCGACAACCAACTCCGAGGTTTGGGGTTTAGGGTTTAGGGTTTGGAGTCAGAAACAAAAAGCTGGAAAATGAACCGGAATTTCTGGGCGCCCCGGCGCGCAAGAAATGGGTCCTCGCCTGACCCAAGGCCACCGCCGTCAGCAGAACGACCACGGCGAGTCGAATGGCTTCGAAGCTTTAAGGTTTAGGGTTTAGGGTCTTCAAAAAGAGCACCCCAAAAAACCCGGCAAATACGAGAAAAGACCAGGAAAAGCTTGCAAGAACATGCGTTGAAGGGGCCTCCGCAGTCTCAAGAGCTCAACGGTAGACCTGCACCCTCAAGCAACCTACGCCTTAGGAAATTGAACTGCAAAATCCCTGAAAAAAAGCAATCTCTCTCTTCTTGAGTCAAGGGCCTACCAATCCTTTCTAAACCCTAAACCCTAAACCATCCTAAATCCTAAACTTCACATCCCATGCTCAGACCTGTGTCTGACATGCTTTCTCCTCCATCGAGCCGTGGGCTATAGCAGCGTGGGCTCAGAGTCTTCGGGTGCTTAAAGCTTTCAGAGACACAGCGCTGTACCTTCTACATAATGTAGCGGCCTTAAATACTTAGAATGGGGTTTTGGGGGGATATCATACCACATTTATAATCAGGAACACTAAGAAAGTGTTATAGGCAATTATTGAGGCTTCTATATTAGAGTGCTTCAAGATCTTAGAGTGCTAAAGGATAGATGGTCCCCCCCGAACCCTTGAGCTTCGCAGGGGTTCAGAAAAGGTCGTTCAGAGGTCTGGGGCTGAGGGCTCAAATTTCAGAGGCTGCCTCGGGCTTCGCTGATATAACTCGGTCTAGGGTTTAGGGTTTAGGATAACCTTAGGGTTCAGGGAATGTTGTGGTTTATGCTTTAGGAAAAGGGTAGACTTTCATGTTTACAGCTTAGAGCAACCCCGAAGATAATTACGGCGGCCCTGGTTGGGCTAAGTGCAAATTTATCACTAGGTCATAACGGGTTTAGGGTTTAGGGTTTAGGGTTTAGTTTAGGGTTTAGGGTTTAGGGTTGAGGGTTTAGGGTTTAGGGGTCATAAATGCACCGAACCTCCAAACAGGGTTTAATGCTGTCCGGGGGAGGGAGGCGGCGAGACGGTTCGAAGGGCTGTGGCATGTAACTGCTCGAAAAGACACTACCACATGGGTGGTTGTCGAAATTATGGTCCCTTTTTGGGTCCTTATTATAATACGGCACCTATCATTAAGGGTACCCCAAAAGGGACCATAAAATTGACAACTACCCACATGTTGACGCCTTTTTCGCTTCATCGTGCCTCTTCTATTCGGGGCCAGCTGGGCCCGCATGACATCGAAAGCATGTGCGATGAATGAAGCAGGGCGTCACGAGGACTTCCCTGAACCCCACAGCCTGGCAACCCTACAGCTCTGAAGCTCTACCTTAAGAACCCAAAACCTACTTTTTTGTAGGGTCCCTATAAGTCCCATATTAGGGTTTATAATAAGAACCTACAAAAAAGTGGGTTTTGGATTCTTAAGGTAATCCTAAGTCCTGAACCCTTCAGGGGTTTAGGGTTTAGGAAACCCTCGTAAAGCCCAAACCTCATACAACACCCTGCGAACCTCCTCTGAAACCCGAGCAACCACCCAAAGCGACCATAAAACCCTACAGGCCCCCTTCTAAACGGCTACGAATCCTGTGCTAACCCCTAAACCCTAAACCCTAACGAATCCTGAACCCTAAACCTCTAAACCCTAAACCTCTTAACCTCTAAACCTGTAAACCCTAAAGCCCTAAACCTCTAGAACCCTAAAACCCTAAACCCTAAACCCTAAACCTTAAACCCTATAAACCCTAAACCCTAAAAGCCCTAAACCCTCGACCTCCTAAAGCCCGAGTAGGAGGCAGGCTCGCAGCGCTTGGCCCTGGAGCTGCGGCGCCAAGTGCAGCCAGGGCCGTGCCAGCGCACTCTTCTCCTGGGACTCCACGGGTTTAGGGTTTCAAAAAGGGGGTTTAGGGTTTAGGGTTTAGGGTTTAGGGTTTGGGGTTTAGGGGTTTAGGGGTTTAGGGGTTTAGGGTTTAGGGTTTAGGGTTTAATATAGGGGTCTTAATAATCTTCTTGATGGGGTCTAGACTTCACGGGTTTCGGGTTTCGGGCTTTTAAGTTTTTAGGGTTCAGGGTCTTCAGGATTCAGGATTCAGGATTCAGGGTTCAGGGTTTAGGGGGTTTTGGGTTTTTAGGGGTTTATAGGAGCTTAGGGCTTTCAGGGCTTTCGGGTTTAGGGCTTAATATAGGGGTCTTAATAACTAGAATAGAGTTCCTTCAAACGGTTACTCTAAGGGCTATAATTAGGCTCCTATATCCGGGTTTAGGGTTTTAAAGGTTCAGGGTCTTCAGGGTTTAGGGTTTAACATTGGGTTTAGGGTTTAGGGTTTAGGGTTTAACATACGGGCCTTAATGATTAGAATAGTGTTTTGCGGCCCTTTATGCTAGACTTAGAATAAGGAACCACCGAAATAGTATTGCTAATTACTTAGGATCCTAGACCAGGGTTTCGGGTTTTTCGGGTTAAGGGTCTCCAGGGTTTAGGGTATTTCGGATCTTTTTAGTTCAGCGTCTTCGAGGTGTTTAGGGTTTAGACCCTTTGGGGTTCAGGGCTTTAGGGCTTTAGTTTTTAGGGCTTAGGGGTTTTAGAGTTTTAAGGTTTAGGGTTCCGGGTCTTCACGGTTTAGGGTTCAGGGTTCAGGGTTTAAGGTTTAGGGTTTAAGGTGTTTTCGGGCTTTGGGGCTCTATGAAAGGGGTTTGTACAGGGTCCCCATGAAGTGTACTATGCGGCCTTGTACTAATTTGAACGAGGTTTTGTGCCGTGCTTCAGGAAGGGCTCCCAGGAGTTCGAGAAGTAAAGGATGGTATTGGGGCATATTTATATGGGTGGCCCCAAATATCTGCTGCAAATATAGGGGTTTCCCCATTACCGCAATCACATAGGCACTATACAAGGACTCCGTTCATACATTGCTACTTATGTAGGCCTAGAAGAACCCTAAACCCCGAACCCTAGGGTAAATTTTAGCTCCACATTAAAGGCTTGGCGAAGGCTCGCAAGCTTCCATGGCCGCTTGGTAGGTCACCGCATTGCTTTGGACGCCGGCAGCCGCCGCACCTCCAGCGAATGGGGCGTGGATGGAGGTCTCATGGGGTTTGGGGTTTAGGGTAGCTTGAAGGGGTTTAGGGCTTTTCGGCCTTTCTTAGGGTTTTGATGGTTTTGGGGCTTGAGGTTTTGGGGTTCAGGGTAGGATTTAACTGCCCCAGACCCAAAAGCCCTGCGGCGTCTTGGAAGATTTAGCAGCTCGCAGCTCGGATGTTTGGGCTGTGTTGCAAACATCTGCTGGATCCCGGAAACCAGCACACATCCCTTAAGAGTGCAGGGTTCAAGGTTATAGGTTTACCCAAAGGGTCCAAGTACCTAATAATCATATACTCTCCCTAATATTAAGCTAGAAAACTACTATCCGCAACCAAAGTACCTTATTATTGGGTCCTTTGGACCCGTAGGGTTAGGATTTAGGGTTTCGGGGTCTCGGATAGTGGGGGTTCATGGCTTCGCAGCCCATGCTGCAGCCCAGGAGCAGTCCAGAAGCATCAGCGCCATCCTGCACCAAAGAAGATGCACAAGCAGTGTCTGAACCCTAAACCCTAAACCCTTAAACCCTATAACCCTAGACCCAAGGGTTACTTAAAGGATCATGGGACTTGGTAAGTAGGGCTATAACTAAGGTAACTATAGTTATAACCCCAATTAGGGGACTTATAACCTTACTTACTAAGTCCCATGATCCTCCAAGTAGGGCCAGGGTTTCTACGAAAACGACTGTCGGGATGCGAGGTCTCATGAGCTTACGATGGAGATCAACGGTCAACGACGCTCTTCGAAAAAACCCACAAAAACTCGAATAGGGTTTAGGGTGTAGGGTTCAGGGTTCAAGGTTTAGGGTTTAGGTTTTAGGTGACTGCGCCTCTAAGTGTCCGGGGCTGCCTTTTTTGGGCTTGTTTTGGCGTTGTCCTGGTTTCGACCTGGTGGTTTAGGGGTTTGGGGGTTTGGGGGGGTGGGGGGGAGGTAATTACGTTGGAAACACATTCCGAAGCAACAGGCCTGACACCCAAAAGCAGTGCAGCCCTTAAAGGCCTCCGAACCCCAAATCCCTTAAACGCCTCCAAACCCCAAGCCCTTAAGCTGTCCAAGACCTGCTGCGTTTTCCGCACGTATGCGTTTTCCCGCACGTTTAGCCATGTTTGCATAACGGTGCGTTTTCCCGGTGCCACAAAACACACGGCCACTTGCAAGCGCAGCTACCAGGTTTTAGGGTTTAGGTCGGGTTAGAAGCTGCCTTCCATGAGGCAGACTTCAGTTTCAGAACATCAGGAACCCAACGTAGCCCCTATCAGAGCCCCTTGCCTCATAATATAACAAACTCCCAGATGGTTGCATGAATGCTCACAGACAGCGTTAAAAGCCTGCAAAACCCGAAACCATCCGCGAAGCTTGAAGCACTTCTGATGCACACATGGGAATTGCAAAGAAAATAGCGATGGCAGAACACTTGGAATGGGAATGCGCTAGAAACAAAATGCCAGCCGCAACGAATTGTAGCGGTCGTAGTTAGCAGCAGTAGTAGTGGGGGTGGTGGTGGTGCTGGTAATGGTAGTAGACGTGGCAGAAGTAGTAGTAAGTAGCCTCGAGGCGTAAACATGCGTAGAGGTAGGAGTACGAACAGGACGAGGGCGAGCAGGAGGTCGTAAGTTATCACGATAGTAGTACTCATCATGGCCACAACAATCCAAATAAATGCCTTCCTCCTTATTATCAAACAATCTCCAAGCACCAATACACTTCCCAAGAAATCCTCTTGATATCATCCCCGCATTCTGATTTACGGGGTTCCGGAGCAAGACAAGAGCAGAACAGGAGCAAGAGCTGGAGTTCATGAGCAACCGCTAGAGTAGGAGCAAGAGCAAGAGCTGCAATAGCACACAAACCCCCTCACTGATTAACACACTTTTCCACATTTTATTGGGGAGAAGGGCGGAGGGGGGGGTTGAATATTAGGGGGAAGGGATTTCTACTTTGGCACTATGAACAATGACAAAAGACGACAAGGAAAAAAGACTGCCATCATATACACATGCAAAGTTAGCTGATACGCTAAGCCACGCACGAAAACACTTGCGATATCTCACAACAACTCTGACAAAACCTCCCAGAGCCCTCATACAGCCTCACGACGCACAAGAAACCTAATGACACCGCCTTACAGTGCAGAAGCCTTAAAAAGCCCCTAACAAACCCTTGCAAAAGCCCGGATAAATACATCTAAAACCCTTATGAAATCCCTATAGCCACCTTTATAAAAAAGGAGTCCTATAGCCACCTAAATGCCTCTGACTATTTCACAGCCCTTAAGCAACCCCCGTCTTAAGGCCGCAAACACCTCCCCTAAACCCTAAAC